ATTCGGCCCGCAGCTCCCCATGTTTTCCCTTGAGGCGCGGTAAACATCACCTGGGCAATTTAAGTGAGCATTCTGCGAGCTTCCTTCTGCAATGTTCCAGCGGAAATATCGGGAGTGTCCAAGAGCCTCTCGAGCTCGTCTCAGAGGCTACAAATCATCAACTTTCACAAGGCTGCGATTTTCAGATCGCCCCCATCTGAATCTCATCCATGTCAGCTCTGACCGAAACTCTTTCCAGTTCCAAAGCAAATCAAGGCCCCGCGATTGCTTCCGCGCTTGCTTCTCTTGGTCCATGTGGAAGCTTCTCAAAATAGAAACGGTTCTCTAAACCTTTAACTGCCAACCAGAATCTCCGATTTTGAGAAACCGGTTTCGTTTTGGTTCCCCCCGCAAACATCCCAAACCCTTGCACAGCTCCGTGTTGAGGATCTGGGCTGCCCTGCGGAGGGGAGCCTCCAAGTCGAACAGAGGAGCTGGCCACCTTGGTGAAAACGAGTTGGATGGCAAAAATATAGCCAGACCCTTAAGCTACCTGAAAAAGGGGAAATCGCCAACCAACATGTTGGGACAATGCCCCGTTTTTATGGGTAGTTTGAGTGTCCATAAGCTTTGATAGGGAGTTCCCTACAAAAGTGACTGGACGTGAATCCGACCACCGAAGTCTGACGTACCTCCAAATCAAAAGAACCATGTGCAGGACGGACAGTCAGTCAGACAGACAGACAGACAAAACAGATCAGAACAGACCGGCGCAGACCAGAGAAGCGCACAAAGCACGGACAAAAAGAGACAAAAAGACACCAACACACGCATGATGTTATGGAAACCAATCTCTCGGCCAGCCTTAAAAACTTGACAAAGCGCAAGACATTCTGAGGCATTCACTCCTCGGGCACCCAAGGGTGCCATTCGGCATCGCGCTGCTCGCAGAAGCAGTGCCATGAGGGGTGCGCCTGGACACGTCCAGCACGATTTGCTTGCGCTTAGATTGAAGGCCAATCATCACACGCATCGATCACTCGTTTTTATCATCACCCAACAGCAGCCACAATTTAGTCATGACAATTCCTAGCAAAGCTTTTCCGTTTCTTTCAAATAAATCGAAACAAGATGAGCCCCTGAACCCAAACGCACATGAAGCCACCCCGTGGAAGGTGCGGGATTTGCCAAGTCTGCAAACCCCAGCGCCGCTTTCGTGGCGCAGCAGCGAGCCCCAGCGTTTCCATTTTGGTGATATGTGCACGACGAATGCGCCAAACCGTCCGATTCCTCCGGTGCCGCGTCCGAGTGCTCCATCAAAACCCGGTATTAAAATAATCTACCCAGAATCATGTAAAGAATTCAGAAGGCGGCCGCAGCTATTTACGGCTGGGATTGTCCCGTACTAACCCTCATCTACCCGGATTTTGATTGTGAGACTAATGGCTGTTGGTGTTCAACCAAAACCTCCGACGACGACTCGATCCGGCCTCAAGGCCGGACTCGATTCACTGAGCCGCGAGCTGCTGAAAGAGAAATCCGGGCTGTGAGGAAGGGAACTGACACGAGTGATACCAAAGTGGACCGTCCATATAAGTCAATGAGGGGCTTTCTTTGGTACAGAAAAAACGAGCGTGATACCTCTTGGATTCTCATCCCAAGTTGAACCACTTTATCACTTAGGCTCCCTTGGTAGTTACAGAAAAAGGCGAAAATCAACCATGGGGCAAATGACTTCCATGTCAGTTTCAACCACACGGCCGCTTGTTTGACTCATTAACCGGTGCTGCTGGTACGTGCGTTGCCGTTCCGGGGGTACCAAAAAGAGGCCGTGAATTTGCCAGCCATGTGGAAAACTCTGACAACTCGAATCAGACCCGAGCCCTACTGGCCAACAAATTGTGTGTATGTCTTTTGAGGCTGCCCTTCTTGGATGGTTTCAGAAGGAAACCAAAAGAACACCACCCATTGTGGGGCTTCCCTTGTTTTGAGATCAATGCCCGGAGCTATCAGAGGCACCCCTGGCAAAACAAGAGGGCGCGCGATGAGTTGGCTGCATCAGGCAACCCCGTGACCTCACGGGTGCCGGAAGCCGCATTCCATTCCCGGCGGCAAGAAGAATTCCATGCCCGATCTACGGGCCAGACCCAGTCCGGGAACGGCTCGGGACACTGAAGACCTTTGACAAAGGCCTGAGCTATGCAACCCCTCGCCAAGACTCCAAATGACGGTGTAGAAGAATGTGCGGCTTGGCATTTGCGATGCTTTGAAATCTGTCGCCCCTCTTGACGCACGCTCAAATGGAACTGTATGTTCCGTCCTGCGCAAAGTGGATGCAGTTTCGCCTCACGGGGTGGTACCTGCCAATCACTTGGTGGCAATCCGAAGGATGGTGACCCCCCAAAAGGAGTTCTCAACTCGGGTCCGCAAATGGTTAGTGCCCTTGGGGCCGCAAACAAAAAACAAAAAAACAACAACATCCACCTCGCTCACAAAGCCAAGCTCGGGGCCCGCGAAGGGCGCACGAGTTGGCCGGCCACTGGTCCACCATTTCGCCCAGCACCTTTTTGTTGACCCGGATTCGGAAGGAGGTCCCAAGGCCATACTTTGGAGAGGCCAAATCATAGGGACATGTTGACCCTTGACCCCCTGAAACGGACATGTTGACCCCCGCCCAAATGGCAGTCCTCCGTTTGGTTTTCCCACATATTAAAAGGCTCGGCCCCAAGGCTCCGGGCGCTACGGATCTGCCCCTCCGACAAGGCGGAGTCACCCAGGCAGACCGACTCGCTGTAGATGTGGACCTCACAGCACATGCACCCCGCCAACCCTTTCGTCAATCCAGTATTCAGCTGTGTTTCCACCTGATACTCACGCCCCGAACAAACACACATAGACAATACATAAATAAACAAATCAACAAACCCAAAACAACATGTGCATATACATTTTATACGTACATTGATAGTATAATTAATATATATATATATATATTCACATTGTAGCCCCAATATGGGGGTTGTACTGACTCCAGGACGCCGAAAATATGGGACTGACAGTTCGAGAACCTTGGGATGGCCTGGACCTGGATCCTCCCAACTCTGACCTCTTGACCTGGAGTTTTGAAAAGAAACCAGTGGGCATTGGTTCATGTCACGCAAATCACTAAGCAATCCGATGCTCACACCGATCTGTCGCCTTTGAGAAAACCCGCTGAGGTCGCGGCCTGATGAGCTCGAGGTGTCATCCATACGACTCCAGATTCTGCCGATCGAATCAACTGTGGCGCTGTGGTGGAAGGAATGCAGCATCAGCTCTTCATCACAAATGAGGGGGGGGAACTCTCAAAATAGTGGGTCGGCTTCTGGTTAGTATACAGGGAAAGAAGAACACCATGTTTGTGGCGACCGCGATTTGGAGAAATACCCGTAGTCCCCTTCTCTCTGATCCTGTGCTGTAATGAATCTTGTGCATGCACTCAGAGCTGTGTCCTGCAGTCTCGTCCCAGCGAAAGTACCACTCATCACCCAGCACCTTTCTGACGGCGCGAATTGTCGGCAGACTTTCCCAATGTCCAATTGAAGCGGGGTTTAACCCGTCACACGCTTACGCTTTCACGTTGGCGTCAAAATATGAGACACAAATTGTTGGAGACCCTGGTGGGGCCCAAAAAAAACAAACAACTTGACCAATGGCTTTGGAGACCAAGCCCCATGCCCCGATTTCCGACAACTGTTCGGATCTCTGGGCCCGCAGCTTCGACGCCTGCGTGAAAGGCGCCCATGCCCAGCCGTCGGAGCAGAGACGAGTTCAGCTTCGCCTGGCGTGAGGGACACCCCGCGGCGAAAAAAGAGAGGCGCTCGGGGTCCAAATGGTTCAAACTGATTTCTCTCGGGGGGGAACCCCCCCCAAAAAGGGGGGGGGAACTCTGGTTTCTCCAAGAGGAAAAAAAAGGGGGTAGCTCTGGTTCTTCAAGGGGAACAAAGAGGGGTGGCTCTGGGTTTCTCCCATTGGCTTTCCTTCCTGAAGAAAAAGACGCAGGGGGTTGCCAACAGGTCGCGGTCTCTGTAGTGCAAAATGGCAAAACGACGCCGAACATTGTGTCCCTTGTTTTGGAAACCAAGACTCAACGCATGCGCGTGCACAGAACTACAGCAAGTCGGCAGTGTTCAGGCTATGCATCTGGCACGTGCAATCTGAAGAAATGAGGCGGGCGCCATAACTACGTCAAGATCATAGATATGCAGCCAAACGGTGTGAGTCTTCCGCCGAGACCGACCTCTGGCAAAACACAAATCCCACACACTGCATGTAGGCAATACGTACACTAGTTGGCTCATTTGGAAGGTAACTGTGGGTAAATATGCCATGCATGGCGTGGGGATTGACAGCTCATGTTATGCCCCAAGATCACATCGGACAATGACAAATAAGCCGCCGGCTTGTACATCTAGGACTCAGGATGATCTGCTCACCTGGAGCAAGAGGAGGTAACCAGCCAGCCAAGCTCCCTGGAATACGACTTGGAACGAGTCCTTGCCGCCTCGCCCCTGCATGGCAGCGAATCGATACGAATCGGCATGCCCATAATATCTGAAATGAAAAGCAACAAGTCAAACCGCCGCAAAGGCATCGCTGACGTTTTCCCGTGTCCACTCCAAACAACTTCAGCAGTGAGCCTTCGGCAGGCGTTGTCAGCGCCTTGCAACTCTTTGTGCTTCCACATGGGAACCCCTTCTGGTTCGTTTCTTAAGGGAAACCAAAAGGAAACCACCCATTCTGCATTCCCCATGAATTTTGAGACAAACCCGACATGCTTTCCGACACAAGGGCGCCCTCAGGGCGGTCACCTTTTGTTTTCCTTTCGAACCATCCCAGACCACAGCTCGCTATGGGGCAGACCCTGGTGCTTGCTGTTTGGTGGAGATGCCAGTATTCAGAATTTGAAAATGCACCGGCTTCGAAGCTCGTCCCGAACCTAACCCCATTGCAAACCCCATTGCAAACAACGTCACTCGGCC